GACACATCGTGTCCAGGATTTCTTGCCCACCCACCCACACCATGTTCTCGCCGGAACCATAGGTTCCCGTTGTATTTCACCTTTAACATTTTCCTCCACGTCTCACATTTCCCCACGGGAAAGTTCGATTACCCGGTCCCGCATCATAAATGCACCACAGGTGCAAATATTCACCGGGACGGTGCACCAAAAGTGCACCCTTTAATACACCAGTTGGGGAAATCTAGCCACTGAATCGAGTTGTGGCTGGAAAAAGGAGCGCGCTCGCCTCCGTCCTGTGCACCTAGTTCAGCTGGTCTGCAACTAGTCATTTTGTGCGGTATGAGATTGTCGCATGGTGTCATTTCGGTTCCATAGAATTCGCGGATGAAATTGCCAAAAAAGCAGTTCCCAGGCAGATTCGACAATCAATGCTGGACTACCAGTGTGATCGGAACGGCTTCGAAAAAGCGAGCTCTTGGAACTCAAGGAACAAGCTACGTATGCGCAGATGAGGGGGATGAGGTTCTGATCTGTCGCTCTTGATGTTTCCGTGGCCGACTTCGATGCAGTGACGCTCCGAGGCAAGATTTGTTAGTCATCCTTGAGCCAGGACTTTGTGCAAGGCACTGCGGATGGTGCTGACTCGGCAAGCCCAAAACCGGATGCGTTGAGCATGACACGATCAACACGACCGCGGCGACTGGGAATGGCAGGGGTGCATCTCTATTCTTGACGGCTTCATCGTGTCCCAGAGCTTCGAGCGGCCATATGTTGCCGAACCCATGGCGACAGCTGCGAGTGAGGGAAGGGACAGCTGACCTGCCTTTGGAGCCTGCAGAACCATCAAATGCGCTTTGCCTCGCCTCGCCTGACTGACTCACACACGGACCGTTGTGCCAAAGCTTTGCTCTAAAGGTGACAAAACATTCTTCATTGCTGCGTTACTTGCCATGAGACACGTGCTGGGCCAAGAGTGATGCATGTCACGCTTTGCACTTGCTGATTCCCACATCCTGACCTAATGCTAGTGCTACCTGGTGCCGAGAAGGACCGGCTGGCGGTCTTCTTCGGATCTGCAGGCGCGCTGGCTGCAATGACTGCTGGTGGCTCAGATGTTTAATGCCAGTCACTGAGGACACATGAGGCTTGGCCTGTGATGGACGAGCATTCAACTGCCAGGCCTTGAGTGCGACGATTGGACTGGTCCTTCCGAAGTTGATGCCGCGAAAGCTGCAGCCTGAGCACCATGTTGGTGCAGCTACTTCATACATCAGACCACGGTGCACATGAGATGTACTCATACTCATTAATTGAAAGACTGTCACGACGAGTATATCCACCTAGCTCACATTCAATCATGATCACCTCGGTCAGCTCTTATCGGCTACAGAAGTGTTTTGCAGTGTGCCTACTTGGCTTGGGGCCAGCTCTGGTCACCTGAGGTACACTCACTGGGCAGCCGTAGCGCTTTTCGTATACTTCGGCATCAAGCTCTTGTGGGAGGCCATATTTCACGCGACCGCTTGGTAAGGATTCACTCAGGAGGCTGCTCAGAGATGCCTTCTCATTTGGTGAAAGGCATTTCAGATGCTGCGCAGCGGAAGTGGTAGCGGGTAAATGGCTCAGGGTTGCTTTGCACTGTCCACAGAGAGGTTGATTTGCGAAGTGAGTGCAGATATTGATTGGTTGAATTTGCTGTGACAATGGGCTCTGACGAGTTTCGCCATGCTTGGTTGCTGTCTGGTTCAAGATCACACACTGTTGTGGTTCAGCTCAATCTAACGGCATGGCCAAATAGTTGAGGCGGGGACCATGCCTCCTACCCCAAGACGACGGAAATTGGTTTATGTTCTCCCTGACCCGCGATATGTGACTTCCGTGGATGCTGGGTGGGCTGCGGCCAAATGCTCCACCGTGGCGAGCCAGGACTCACCTTGCGAGTTGGTTTTGATGCCTGGCCATGCCCCGTTAGAGAGGCCCTGCTACTGACGTCACCTAGTACATGGAGAGCAATGCACAGCTGGAGTTTGTGCCTCAGTTGCCTGTCGACAGACCTGCTTTCCTGATCACTGCGATGTGTCAGGGCTGCTCTCACGGCTGCGCTGGAAGTTGTGGAGGTGCTTGGTGCCCGCAACTGTCTGAAAGCTTTTTGCTGAGTTGCGCGTCTGACACGTCTTGCACCAGAATGGTGTGGACCTGAACCCAAAGCGGCTGGTCTTCAGCACAGGCGCAACGTGTGCAGCTGGCATCCGCTCAGGAGGCCTCCTTTATCTTGATATTTTTCAGCTGCCTCGTGTGCCGCAAGCTTCTGGCGATTGCTAACGATCAACCCACAAACCAGTGCTTTTTGAGTTGCCTTGGGGTTGTGGAGGTTTTTAGTGTGAAGCACGGCAAATGGCATCGTTGAGGAGGTCGCGCGGTTGCAGCTTGAGCTGGAGCGCGAGCGTGATTCCCGTGCTGCCACGGAGGCAACGGGCTGGACCAGCTTGGCTTTCATGGAGACGTGCTGCTGTTTGCAAGGAGAGGCTCCGTGAAGCCTCTATTGAGTTTGCCCGGAAGCTGTCCGCCATGCAGGCCTGAAGTAAGGACAAAAAGCATCCCGCCAAATTCTTCATGGCATTGTGCAGGCAAAGGTCCTGGAGGCGGAGCGGGATGTGGTGCTTGGTGGACAGGTACCTTACCGCCGTGCACGTTTTATTTACAAACATGGCCGCAGAACGAGGTCCTCGTTGCCCGAAGCAGTGGCACGACAGCATCATTGGCCTGCCCAGAAGGTGCCTGTTGAAGATGTTGCTTCTCTCATGGTGCGGTGTTACGCAGCAGACCTTGCAAGTTTACTGGCCGAAAATCCAAAGTGCGAATCAAATCTGAAGTCTAGCCTGCCATTCTGCAGGCCCGCTGCGTGTTCCTGGGGAGACACCGCGTCGATTGGCACCGGTGCCGCCGCCGTCTGGGCCTCGGGTGGAGCAGTGAGAGCTTCAAAGCCAGCCTGAGCTGAGGCCACGTGACTCTGAGGAGCAAGGTTTCAGCCGGTCTCAGTGCTACGTCGCACGGGCAGGTTGGATCTGAAGCCGTTTGCTGCCAGGGTGTGCCTGTTGCCGTACATTTCATTTACACAAGCTGCTGTTCCGCTGGGTTGACACCCGTGTCAGGTGCTGCTCCGCCGTCCGGTGCACGACGCACACGATCAGTGTGGCCCTCATCGGATGCAATGAACCCTGGCAAACAAATACCACATTGCGCTTCAGACTCAGTGTTCGCTGCAGGCTCAGCATCCGCTTTCACCTTTGGAGCCGCATTCTTTGAGCTGAGTCCACCTGGGCCCGATTGTAGTTGCTTCAGCTGTGAAGCAGCAGCTGGCATATTCTGCAAGGTTCTTCATTTGCGACTACAACCTGAATTTTTCAGCCCATCCAAGTAACTTCAAAGATGCCAACCTTTTCTTGCGTTAATGCAGTAGGGAAGGTGGCAGGGCCGAAAAGCGGCCCTAGCTGCCTTTTCGCTTGGAGGTGCTTAAAATCGAGCTTGTGTAGGAAAATTTGTGGAGTGAGAAGCTGCACGGAATAGGTTGTCAAGCAAAAATGCATGTTTGCCATTGGCTAAGGCCCAGCGAAGAGCTTGAAGAGGTCGAGCAAAGCTTGAAGGCTCCAATACGCTGATTTAGTGAATCTCAGTGGTACACGGTGACTTCGGAAGATTGAAACCTGGAGTCTTATTAGTACCATGACAATGATTACAGTTATTATTGTCATGAGTATTCCTAAGTATGCCTAATATAATGTCCTTGGAGTTTGCGGAGTTTCCTGCCAGGAAGAGAGCTCCAAGGACAAGCAGACTTGGGCCGTAGCTGGCCAGGCTGAGATTTGTTGCTTTCACCTTTGATGTGGTAATAGTAGGGTTGTATTGGGGTTATATTGGCATAATGGAAAACAAAATGGGAACTACTATATTATATGGGGTTATATAGGTGTTATATATCTCTCTAAGTTGGATTTGTCGTGGCGGGATATTATGTTGGCTAGGCTCTGACCCTCACCTTTCTGGCCGAGTGGGGCGACCGCTCGCAGATTTCGACAATTGCCTTGGCAGCTGCAAAGGCACATTTTTCAGTAGCTCTTATTGCACAACAAGCTAGAGGCTGCTCTTGAGGATGGCGGTTGTTTGCTCCCAATGGTCACATTGGTGCGGACTAAAGCCATGAACGCTCCGTGAACATACTTTGGATCCACGCCCCCTAATCAGGTTGAAGCCGATCCACCTGCAATTACTCTTGCTGAAATGAAACTTCTCTTGCCAATCCTTCGAGGGATTGCAGCAATTCTCATGATTTGGTTCTCCCTGAAACATGTTTGCCATGTATCGTATTGCTCAAGGACCCTCTGGGTGTGACGCTGGGTGGAATTATCGGCCATTCCTGCTGCACGAGCCTGGCAGTGAGGGGCTCAGACAAGAGAGGGAGGATGATATCTGGCTGACGCCACAATGCTGAGCGTCGCATTCAGGTCATCGGAGGCCGAGTACTGGCTGAACACATCTCTGAGCGGATGGTTGTCAGTGCTGGTGGGGTGGCGGGCTTAGTCACATTGCAAAAAAGACTTGGACAGGGCCTCAATGTCTTGTCTAAGGTCCTTTTCCTTTGCTTCGCTCTGCATGGCGCCATCATGGGCTCGGATTGATCCTAAAAGCGAGAAAGTTGTGTCACCACAGCACACGGCGCTCCAAGCAGCAGATCTAAAGCAACACCAAGTGAAGCCGCATAGCGTGAAGGTTGACAATAGGCGTCTCCCTTAAGAAGGAAGAACTTGCACTCGCCTGGAGAGCATTGTGGTATGACGCATGTGGCGTCATGTATGTTCCGTGCTGTCCAGCCCATAGATTTTGAGGCTTGAGCCCGAAAGGTGTGCTGTGATTCTCACTCTTGCATGTCTAAGGTGTTAGTTGCTCCGTGCATATTCTGCCTCAGGTTGTGGAACTCTGAATCTGTAGTAGACGCATGCAGAAGCTGCCGGAACTAGTCGATTTGGCTTAAATTTGAGTGCCTGCATATGCATGAGAGCACCTCCTGCGATGAAAGCTACGGAGGCATGATTCCGTTTCACTGGGGTGGAGAGGTCATGGTGAAGCTTGGTTGTGCGGTGTGGGGACTGCAGACCTTCCACCTGGGTTTTCCATCTATCGCTGTATCACGCCTCTAGGACGGGGATTGCAGCAGCAGTCGCAGACTTGTACTACTAGTCGTCAAGGGGGCCATTGCCTACCATCTTCTAGACTCCCACAGTCCGTGCCTGCTGCCGTGAGTATTGCCCTGCTCCGAAGCTCATCGATGCTAATAGCTCAACCTCACCGGGTGCTTTGGCAGCACAAGGAGCAAGCACAAAGAGCAGGTAGCTTGTTGTTGGATTGTGCTTCTTTCTTTCTTATTCGCTGCCACATGCAGGATGAGGCTTCCTGGCACCCGTTTGCTGTCATCTTTGGCTCAGATAGTGGAATCTGGGGGCTGCCCTCCTTCATTCCATATGCCTGAGGTGCCGCAGGTGCCATGTTGCAGTCTAGTCTTGCGGTGTATGCAAGAGCATAGCCTGCGTGGGGCTGGGAGGTTTGGGCTTGCTGGCCTCGACTGCTGTCTAGATTCAGATGGGCCATTGAGTTGCCAGCTTCCATTCTAAGACGGAGAACTGCAGAGTGAACGATGATAGTCGAGAGGGAGGATGCATGCGATGTCAAGCTGAATGTGAAATACGTCAGGCCGGCCAGCCAGCTGGTCAAGGCCCTGGAACGAGCAATGCAAGGTTTTCAGGCTTCACGGATCGTGGTGCCCTTTCGCTTGTTGCAAGAGGCTTCTGAGCAGTTTTCTCGCAGCCACTCATGCTTATTAGGGAGGTGGAGTTAAGTAACTCTGCCTGTCCTACTTGTTACCACTCATCCATCTGCTAGCATGCGCCTCAGTCATGGCAACATGCAGCAACTCCGTAGGCGACTACGTGACCACAAAGTACTGCATGCTGAGGCGAACCTCCCTACCGCAATGCAGCTGCAACTCGCATACGGCGCTGTTCTAGTCGCTTTGGCGGCTGGAGTTGTTGTCAAGGAGCACGTGCCTGGACACCACATCGCAGCCTTTCACAGCTTCATTGACGAGCACGGTGGCCGAACTTTAATCTTGTATTCTGTTTTGCAGCAGTTGCTACCACGAAGCTGCCCCGCTCAAGCGCAACTCCCAGGCATGGAAGGCATTACAAGCTCCTTGGGCCTGTGGTTTGAAGAAATCTGAAGAAAGCATTGGAACTGCCTGTGCTGTTCTGACCGTGATCCCTGAAATCTGCAATGGACACTTGGTAGGAGTTACAAGATCCTAGGAAGGGTACCCACGAGTATTTCAAGCGCCTCACCCTCTTCTCGGAACGTCTCCAGAAGGCCGAGGCCATCAATTCCCGGCCAGGCCGCTGCCATTGAGAATGGAAGATGGGCCTCTGACTTTGTTCGGGCTGTTTAATGCTGAGGCCACCTTTGGATCGCAGGTGTTGGACCCTTGGCAGATCTGACACCAGAGGAGATGCATCCTTGGCAGCCTTTGACGGTTCAGAATCATGAAAGAGCCTTCAGTAGGAGCTCAAGCAGAAGAAGGGATGGGCGGGCTTTGCCAGTGAGGGGCCCAGTTGAGCTTCGCGTCTGTCCCTAAATACAAGTATCACTGCGTCATCAAGGCCGAACTGGAGGAAAGGGCGCGAAGTCACTCAGGACCTGCTCCCAAAAGTTCTGGCTCAGCGAACAGATTAAAGTGTCATCTACAAGGTTTCTTTGGCTAGCTATCTCTGAGGAGCAGTGCTATGCGATGGTGCGCGGTTTGCAGTTCTTCCCCTGCTTTCAGAGCAACACCTGTTACATGAACTCAGGAGTAAAATGTCCCTTCTGCAGTCCGAGTCCGACCTCCCAGAAGAATGCCAAAAGTGGAACAACCTCACAATGCTGAAGGCTCATGTTTCCATGTCAGCCGTGGCCTATGAAAGCCAAGTTTCCACCTCCTTTGCCAGAGTTTTCCATTGGTCTCAAAGCCGTGCTAACGACTTTTTCGCTTGGTTGACTGACCTGCAAGCGAATGAAGCTGCCTCATCATCTTGAAAGATCAGTTTTGAGCTGTTCTCATCTGTCCCTGAAGAGGGTCCAGAGTCCAGCGAAGGGTCACATGCTTTGTTTGTGGACTTCATCTTGCCAGGCCAAGGATCAGGGCGGCTGCGGTTCTTGCTGGGCGGTCGGGGCCCAGTACAGCCCTTTCAAAACGTGAGGCAGCAAATAGGCTACTGAGCTACTGTCTGGCATATGGAACGCAGGTCACCTCAGCCACGGTGCTTGAGTCACATCGCGAAATCCATCTTGGAAAGAAGGACGCTACATTGGGCTTTCAGGCAATTTCGTGATGCAATGAGCTGGACATGGAAGGAGCAGCTGTCTGCGCAGCACCTGGTGAATTGCACCTTGTTGCAAGTGGAGTGGTGTTTATGCTTCATGCAGAAACTTCATTCTCGCTTGCTGGCCCAGGTGTGGAGAATCCGCGGTGGCTCGGTGTAAGAACGAGTGAGGCGGAGGACCGGGGCCAACTCCCAAGCCTTGCGTGTTCCCAGGAACTGTGGTGGCTCTGGTGGCTGCGCTGGCGCAACAGTGGAGCTTGCCATGGCCTATGTCATGCAGAACGGCCTGAAAAAGGAACCTAGCCGGCCGCTAGCATGCTGGGGTGTGCTAGGCTCTTGGGAAATAGATCCAGATGCTGGGGTGCAGTGGGGAGAAGGAGAGCTCCTGCAAACTGCTTTCAGCTCAGGAGAGCCAGGTTCCCTATCGAGGACACTTGTCGCTGCAGCAGTAGAGTGCACGAAATCCATCTGCTGCAAGCTGCACTCTGCCTGCCCATAGGAGCTGACGAGGAGTGCAAGAGCGGAGCCTCGTCGGCCGACAGAGTAGCCGAGAACTAAACATGCCCAGAGAACCTCCCTAATCACATGTTCCCAACAGGTCCTGACCTTCCTCACGCTGCCACACCGGGTTTGGGAGTTGGACTCTGATGTTGCACCTTTTCCGTTTCCAACTATCCTTCCGTACTCATGTACAGTGATATGACTACAGGCTTGGAGCATTCATCTCCAGTGCTTTTTTTCACACTTCGAAGATCACCACTCCCTTGCGAAAGCGCTACCCGTAAGTGTGCGACTCAAAAAACTAAACCGAACGACAGCCACAGCACAAATGACTTCCGACAAAGCGCCCCAGCTTAGGACCAGTGGCTACTCTGCAACTGTCTGGATCAGATGACCTGGCAGCTGCTGGCGTGCCTGTCTCATGAGCGTGTTTCACGTTTAGCCGGACTTGGGATTTCAGATAGGAGAGAGTAACTTTGTATTTGTTAAGGTTCGAAGAGCGCATGGAAATTCCATTGGTTTGCGGACCTTGGGCATGCATGGCCGCCGCCCTGGTCTGGACCTGTGTAGCAGATTAACCCAGATTTTAGCACTTTCAACGAGGCTGGGAGAAGCTCCCGGAGAACGAATATCTGCCCTTGCTGCTGGGGTTGTGAAAAGAGAAATGCTTGGAACGGGCTCTTTTCAGTTGGCTCGCCAGTTTCTGACTCATCTCAGGATGAGGGCGGTCGTGCAGCATGGCCCCGTTGCTGTCTCCGTCAGTGCTCTTCCGACAAAGTCATGATTTACTTAAGAGCCTCCGGCTCAGTCCGCCGACCCAGAGGCGGAGAAAGCACGAAAGCCTAAACGCGAAACCTTGAGGGTTTTCAGCGGCTGGCACGAGACCAATAGATAGGCGCAACAAGACTA